TTTGGGGTTTCGGGTTAGGGCCTGGGGGGTTTTAGGATTTGGGTCCAGCTGCGTGCTCTGCTCTTTTCATCTTTTCTCTCGGGCGTGTGCTCTTTTAGCTCCCTCACTCTGACTCTATCGCTCTTTCTATCTCCCTCTGACTCTATCGCTCCGTCTATCTCCCTCTCCCTATCTATCTTTGCACCTCTCGGTTTTGTTGTTGTTATCCACTTCTACCTTTCTCGGTGCCTCTCTCCGCTTGGGTGTATGGATTACATAAAGCTCACGCAGTGGTACAGGAGGGCCAACCACAAAGAAACTGGCTTTCGACAGCGCCTTCAGGTAAGGCTTCTAGGAGAGTCATATGGGATTTAGGGTTTAAGGCTTACCGTTTGAACGATAAACTCAAAATCGAAACCGCAAAAACCAAGCCCTAAACCCTAATTCCAAAAACTCTAATACCTAAACCCTGAAGGCCGAACCCAAATGCGTCTAAACCATGGCGGAAAACACTCCCTGAGCCTTATCTCCATCTTGCACTCAACACACGAAGAAACAACCCAAACCTCATCCTCATGAGGGTTTGGAGTTAGGGTCAAAGGAACTTATCGGATCCAATGATGACCCCCACCCAAAGCCGAAATAAGGCTGAATGAAGGGTGAGTCGGACCTTCCTTTGGGGTGTGGGAGTCGTTAAGGATCACATGTTCAACGCTTTAGGGTCTTATTGTTGTAGACTGAGGCCTGGAGTAGTGACTTTAGGGTCTAGCTACCCTAAAACCCAGAAAACTCTGTGGTCTCGAGCATTGTTACGAGACCTCCTCATCGGATGCTAAGAGAACCCACAAGCACTCTGCTTGGTTTTGTCGGGTAGACACAACAGTAGAAACCTACGACGGAAACCCTGCACCCTAAACCCCCGAACCCCTAAACCCTAATGAAACCGTAAACCCTAAACCCTAAACCCTAAACCCTAAACCCTAAACCCTAAACACCGGAGCAGGGCAATTTGTGGGAGACTGCGGCCGCATCCTTCGAATCAAGTCAGGCTAAACAAACGCCCAGGGGACCAGTGCTTCGAACATTGTCTCGTGGTCTGGTGGTTGCTGGTTTAGGGTTTAGGGTTTAGGGTTTAGGGCTTCGGGTTTAGGGTTTAGGGTTTAGGGTTTGGGCTTAGGGTGTGGGGTGAAGAACCCCAAAACCTACCTTTTTTGTGAGGCTAGTTACGAAAAACCCTGGTAAGATGCTTAGGGAACCTACATTTTTGTAGGCTTTGGGTTCTCCAGGGAAGGGGTTCTCTAACACTATCATCACTGTTTGTGACTTTCTGCAAAGAACGAGGTTTTATGAGATCGCTTCTTAGAACAAACCCTCGACCCTAAACCCTAAACCCTAAACCCTAAACCCTAAACCCTAAACCCTCGTACTCAGGCAGACCCTGCTGAGACAAAGCCTTGAAGCCTAAAACCTGAACAGATTCCTCTTAAACCCAAGAAGGGAAGATATGAAAAAACCCCAAGGGCCTAGTCTACTATTCGCTTAAGGATCCCCCCGAAAAATGTTACAACAATACCTATTTTGCCCTTAAAAAGGAAGAAGAAGATTTTTGCATATTGCCCTAAACCCTACACCCTGAACCCTAAACCCTTCGGGGGAGGGGGGGGGGGGGGGGGTTTTTAAGCACTTAGTAGTTGTTGAAACGGGTTTAGGGCTTTGCTTTAGGAGGCTCAAGCAGACTTCGGTAGGCTTAGGGGTTTAGGGTTTAGAGCTTAGGGGGCATAAGGTCAGCAGCGTGTGCCAAGCAACTGGCAACCGTCCCCTGGGCTGGCAAAGTCCCGGTAGCTGGACCAAGTTAACCTTCGGGCTCCCATACGGGTCGCCTTTTAAGTCAAGTCTACACGTCTACTGGAGGGTTTAGGGTTTAGGGTTTAGGGTTCAGGGTTTAGAGTTTAGGGTTTAGGGCTTAGGGTTTAGGGTTTAGGGTCAAGTCTACATGGCTACTGGATGCCTGGCTGCGGCTCCTGAGTAGTTGAAGCTCTAAGCTAAATCGAACAAAGTTAAAGACCAATGAAGGAACCAAAAGGAGAAATGTCAAGATGTTTTGGATCTACTTCCATGCAGAGGCTGCAATACTGGGCTCTGAGTAAAATTAGAATAGGTTTGGGGGTATAACTACATACATATAGGAAGCATCGGGGAATGTTTTTTCGTAATTATTCCGACCCGATACTCTATGGTATTCCGACCCCGATACTATATGGTATATGTGAACTTGATGGGCCGTACACGGCATGAATCACTCACGCGTTGTCTTTAACCCTATACCCTGAACCCTGAACCCTAAACCCTAAACCCTAAACCCTGAACCCTAAACCCTAAACCCTGAACCCTGAACCCCTAAGCCCTGAACCCTAGGTGTTCCTGGGCTTCGTGGTCTTCCATGGGGGGGCCCGGATGGCCCTAAGCCAGGACGGCTCAAAGCTTTGTCGGCTAAGAAAAACACCGCGGGGGTGTTTCGCAAATTCTCCATCGCGGAACAGCCATCTCCTTGTGCCAAACTTCCCTGTACTCTCGTGACTTTCCGAAACCCTAAACCCTAAACCCTAAACCCTAAACCCTAAACCCTAAACCCTAAACCCTAAACCCTAAACTGCCATGGGCTTATGGCTCTTTATCAACCAAACGGCTCTGAAGAGGAGGACACTGTCGGCTCTTGCAGGGGTAGCCCTGTAGAGATAACCCTAAGGGTAAACAAACACGAACGCGATGGCAAGCTTCTGGTTTAGGGTTTAGGGTTTAGGGTTTAGGGTTTAGGGTTTAGGGTTTAGGGTTTAGGGTTTAGGGTTTAGGGTTTAGGGTTTAGGGTTAACAGGGGTTGCTCTGGGTGGACCAAGTTTGCAGGCCTTAGGGTTCAATACCCAGGTAGCGTAAATTCGCCCCTGCGAGGCCCGAACAGCAACCGTGCACCACGAGGTTTCCTAGCAAACCACCACAACCCTAAACCCTAAACCCTAAACCCTAAACCCTGAACCCTAAACCCTAAACCCTGAATCATAAACACTAAACCCTAGACCGCAAAACCTTAAACCCCAGGTCTCAGCACGGTCTACTTGTCTTGCTTCATTAGACTCAACGAACGGTAGGCTATAAGTGTTGGGTGTAGGGCTGAGGGCCCACCCTAAACCCTAAACCCTAAAACCCTATATAAACCCTAAAACTTAAACCCTAAACCCTGTTCCGAGACAGGTCTTCCGCATGTCCGAGGGAAGCCGCACTCTGCTTTGCAGAGGCGAGGTCGGAAGAGGACGTATTTGGAGGTTCATGGTAATTATTCACATGGGACTTATTAACCCAATAGGATTTAGGGTTTAGGGTTTAGGGTTTAGGGTTTAGGGTTTAGGGTTTAGGGTTAGGGTTCAGGGTTTAGGCGTTTAGGCGTTTAGGGTTTACGGTTTAGGGTTTAGGGTACCATGAACCTTCAAGTATGAGGTAAAGATAAGATCTTTCAGCACAGGGAAACCCTTGAACCCTGCACCCCTAACTTAGTTGCTGAGTTCATAGGCCGCCCAAAAAGGTGTACACTTTCAGTTCTATAGGGGAGTATCCCAGCAAGTGTAAAGTGTACTCACTCAGCTACTAAGAAATCTTTCAGCACAGGGCAACCCTTGAACCCTGCACCCCTAACAAGGTCAACCCTCCTACCCTCTTCCCTGGCAACACTCGGGCTTTCTGGGGAGTTGGGGCTGGGGACTCATCAACACTCATACACACACACACACATGACACACATTAAACCCTAAACCCTAAAACCCTAAGCCTTAAACCCCAAACTCTAAACCCTAAACACCACTGGTACCACGTTCAGTGACGCCCCTAAACCCTAAACCCAAAAAGAGAACACCGCAAACCCTGAGCCTCAAACCCTAAACGCCTAAATCCTCATCATTGGTCTGACACCCAACCTCAGAACCCGGTTGAGGTTTCGTCTGAGGCAATGGACTTTCGTCCCGAACTGATAATGGCTACCCTTAGTAGCCCAGTAACCATATTCCAATAAGGGCACCCTTTTTTGGGGGGGGTGGTAACTTTATAAGGGAACCCATAACCAAAAGAAGGGCAAAGGGTACCACTGGGCTACCAAGTACCACTAGGGATTAGGGTTTGGGGCTTGGGGATCTTCAGGTAAAGATTCAGGGGCAGGGTAGGGTTTAGGGCCCCTGTACCTGCGACCGACGCGTGTGTGTGAAACAGTGCCAAGCAGCAGCTATGTAATGGATCTGACTTACCTAGTTGTCCAGGAACCTGGGGGAATTAAAGGTTAACATTTGGGATTATAAGGGGATTGTACCACCCCAAAAAGGTTAAAGAATACCTACTCTACTACTAGGCTTAAAGTGGGTTACCATATCAAGCGCTATGGCAACTAACTATATAAACCATTCGTCATGTTATAAAGCCCCAAGCCTTCAAGCCTCAACCCTGATGCTGGAAGTTCCTTAACGGAGCAACCTGGAGTACGAACATTAAATCAAGGTAAGAAAGCACAGGTCTTAAGCCCGAAGCCCGAAACCCTAAACCCTAAACCCTAAACCCTAAACCCGAAACCCCAAACCCAAAACTGGGAGAGCCGAAATCTGGTTCAGGGCTTTGGGTTCAACGTTGCTTGACTGACTTCTGAACCCCCTCCTAAAAGTTTTACTTTTAGGCCCCTTAGTGTAGCTTCTACAAAAACCCAAGAAGTGAAAGTCCCAAGAGCCAGCCAGAAGAAAGCCAAAGTTGTAGCTAGGCTTTAGGATGGAGGGGGTTCGGTTCTGTGGATGGCAGTGAACGCGCAACTTTATAACCCGAGGAAAGTAGCCCCAAAAGAACATCCAACAGACTTCTTGGGAGAGGGGGTTAGGTGGGAGTAGGTAGTGTACGGTTTGGGGTTTAGTGTTTAGGGGTTAGGGGTTAGGGTTTAGGGGTTTGAGGGTTTGAGGGTTTAAGGCTTAGGGTTCTGAAAGCAGGCTGGGTGCTCAGATTCAGGCTGACACCATCCGACGCCCCGGCTCAGGCACGTTCAAATGATCCTTGGTTGGCTCCCTAAACCCTAAGCCCTAAACCCTAAACCCCTAACCCTAAACCCCAAACCCAGGAGCCCTATAAACCCTACAAACCCTATAAACGCTTGACAGAACTAGAAGCACATACAAACCTAAAGCCATATAAACCCTGATAAACCCTGTCAGCCCTGAAAATCCGACAAACACCATAAACCCTTAATTATACCCCAAAACAACCCGACAAACATAAGCCTTAGAAACCCTACGAACCCTAAAAACCCTGTAAGCCCTGTGTGGTAGATTCCCTAAAAAGTCCATGTACCTAAATAGGGAGTACTTGGGCCTGAAAGTACCTCCTATTTAGGGACTGCAGGGCTCAAATACATAAAAAAGAGGTATATGATGTAGGGTTTATATTTCTTGTGCCCCAAAAGGACACCCAAGGTATACACTCACCAATATGAAAAAAGGAACCTTATATACACTCACCAAAGACAGTAATATAACCCCTGCTTCATATGGACCCTCATGTTGCTTCTGTTTTTTTTTCGGTAGCGAGGGGGAATCCACCGGCCCCAAGGCCGAATGCAAGAGCTCACTGGCAGTTAGGGCTTATGGTTCGTAGGGATTGGGGTTTAGGGATTGGGGTTTAGTGTTTAGGGTTTAGGGTTTAGGGTTTAGGCTTTAGGGTTTAGGGTTTGGGGTTTGGGCTTTGGGATTTGGGGTTTAGGGTCTAGAGCTTGGGGTTCAGTGTTTGGGGTTTAGGGTTGAGGCCCGCAACCTCCCGGAAGAAGGGCAGGTTCCGTGTGTGGGGCGGGGGGTCTTCAGGGTTTAGGGTTTAGGGAAGGCGATCCTAACCTTCGATAGAGAAGCCTTTGAACCCGAGTTAACCTCTCTAGAATCCTTAGCCCTATTGAAGCACGGGGATGAGGGTTTGGGCTTGAGGCCACCCTAAACCCTAAACCCTTAGCCTAAACCCTGAAACCCTGAAACCCTGAAACCCTGAAACCTGAAACCCTGAAACCCTGAAACCCTGAAACCCTGAAACCCTGAAACCCTGAAACCCTAAACCCTGTAAACTTTGGCCGAGGCTCGCTTTTCATGCTGTCCGCCTTGCTGACCTCCAGATGCAAAGCGGCTTGGGGGTATGTTTTTCCATGAACCCCCCAAGACGTGTTTAGGGTTTCGGGTCTAGGCTTTAGGGTTAGCGGTTTAGGGTTTAGGGTTTGGGGTTGTCCGTATGAAGGTATATGCTAGTTGGGGAAAAAAACCTCCCCACACTTCAGATCAAGCCCCAAATTGCTTTCAGAGTCCATTTCGTCTCCGCGGAAGGGTTGGGGCAGGAAGGAACAGGTTCAGGGGCCGAGGGGGTGCGGTTCCCTAAACTTTTGAAGGGTTTAGGGTTTAAGGTTGAATGACCCTAGGCCGTAAAACCAAAAGCCCTAAGCCTGAACCCCAAACCCCCAAACCCCAAACCCCAAGCCCCAAACCCTAAACCCTAAACCCTGAACCCTGAACCCTAAACCCTAAACCCTAAACCCTAAACCCTAAACCCTAAACCCACGCCTCCTCCTCCTCCTCGTACCGGTAGGGCAAGGCCCTGAGGTGGCACGAGTCTTCCTCCAGGGCCAAGACCTGCAAAAACAAAAACACCGGTTTAGGGTTTAGGGTTTAGGGTTTAGGGTTTAGGGTTTCGGGTTTCGGGTTTCGGGCTCCGCAACTTTGGTTGCTGAGCCCTCGCTAGGTTCCTGCAGAGCTTTGGAGAACCGTCGCCCGAGCGCCATAGGGTCGAAGCCCCCAAGCCCTGAACCCCAAAGCTTGAATCTTTCGTGCAATCCTTAACCCTAAACCCTAAACCCTAAACCCTAAACCCTAAACCCTAAACCCTAAACCCTAAACCTTCATCCTAAACCCTAAACCCGGTGCGCTCCTGGGTCTTACGCTCAAGCCTGCGAGTCCTTAGCCTAGAAGAAAGTAGGGTTTATAGATTCCTGGTATCCCCAAAAGAACACCCAATATGGGGGTTTACGAGACTAGGGAAAGTTAGCAACTACCATTTCCATTTTCAAACCATGCACACCCCCCTTGGCCACCTGAAGACCCTAAACCAGAACAACCTATACCCCACACATGGAACCACCAAACTTGGCTGCACTTAGCAGGGGTAGCTGTAAAATGTTTTTTTAGCTGCCTTCTTAAGAAACCCAATAAACCCGAAAGGGCTAAGGATCTAAAGTTACAGTAAAGGAAAGACCCATGGCAAGGCCTCAAAACGAAGACCCAAAACCCAGGGTGAGTGTTCAAGACAGACAAGTAACCATGCCAGCGAGAAATCGGAGGAGCAAGAACAGCAAAAATCGTTAACCCTAAACCCTAAACCCCAAACCCTAAACCCTAAACCCTAAACCTTAAACCCTAATTTGGTAGTCCTTTTTGAAGAGATTTAAAATTCACGACAAACAAGTAAGGATAGCGGAGCAAGGGGAAGAAACGAGCCGATGCCAAAGAAAGAATGAAACCCTAAACCCTAAACCCTAAACCCTAAACCCTAAACCCTAAACCCTAAACCCCAAACCCTAAACCCTAAACCCTAAACCCCAAACCCTAAACCCGAAACCCTAAACCCTAAACCTATAGGGCTTAACTCAAGGGCGTAGGGCTTTGCAGACGGGAAAACCCAACGAACTCTCACAATCTTGTTAGCCACGTTTTTATGATGACCCGACTGCGACGTCCCAAAATCCCAGCCCCCACACCCCTTGATTGAGCCTTGGCTGCACTCAGGAGGGTAGCTATAAATTAAACTTTTAGCCGCCTTATTCAGAAACCCAATAAACCCAAAAAAGGTAAGGATTTAAAGTTACGGTAAAGTACCACAAAGGAGCGCTCTTTGCGCTTTGCTTCCTCTAAACTCAGAACCGAGGGATTGCAAACAAACAACAACAACTCAACCCAACCTTGCCTAAACCCTTACACCTGTGAGCCCTTACCCAAAGGGTCCACGAACCCATATCGAATATTCTTGGACCCTAAAGCTGCTAAACAGGAATCCCTTTACGGCCCAGGTATATATGGGTACTTGGAAACTTGGGCTTAGCCCGTATAACCCACCCTAAACCCTAAACCCTAAGCCCTAAGCCCTAAACCCGAAACCCTAAACCCTAAACCCTCAACGGAGCCTCGAAGGCAGAATAAGGAGGAAAGAGGGTCTCCGACTCCTTGGACCTGAACGCAACATGATCCTGGTTGCTAAGGGGTAGGGTTGAGGGTTGAGGGTTGAGGGTGGAGGGTTGAGGGTTGAGGGTTGAGGGTTGAGGGTTGAGGGTTGAGGGTTGAGGGTTGAGGGTTGAGGGTTGAGGGTTTAGGGTTTGGGGTTTGCGGTTTAGGATTTGGGGTTTAGGATTTAGGGTTTCAGGGTTGAGGGTTGAGAATTGAAAGTGGGGTTTAGGGTTTAGGCTTTAGGGTCTTCGGTTTAGATCTGGGGTTACCACAATTGAGACGTATGAGTCCTTATCAGATCTATTCTGATAACGCGAGGGAAGTTCCTAGTCATACCTAGCTAGTGATGGAACTACTGACAAACCCCCCAAAACCCGAAACCCTATACTGAAAAAGTGTAGGCTTCGAAGTTTGGGTGTTTTTTTATGGTTTAGGGCTTCGGATGAGATGGGGCTAGAGTTTTAGGCAGTTTAGAGGAGGAGGGTGGAACGCCTGAAATGTGCAGATGCATGGCGCTGGCCAGGTCGTGTACCCTAAGGCTCTCCAGACCCTCCTACAGAGTAGGGGTTTAGGGCTTATAGGGTTTAGGGTGTAGGGTTTGGGTTTTGGGTTTAGGGTATGGGGTCTTCCAAACTCCGGGTCTTCTGCGCGCCTAAGAAGCTAAGGGGTTTTAGGATCAAGTTCGACCAGGGGCAGCTGCAGTGTTGGAGATCAGGATTCGGGAGACTGACTTCATTCTCAGACTAGCGGAGCCGTCAGAAGTGAAGACCTGAACCCTAAGGGTTTAGGGTTTAGGGTTTAGGGTTTAGGGTTTAGGGTTTAGGGTTTAGGGTTTAGGGTTTAGGGTTTAGGGCTTCCAAAAGTCTCTCTGGGGTTTATAGGGCGTAGGGTTGACCCTAAGGGTCCAGGTACCTCGCTATTGTGCACCTGGGGCCCTACAGTCCTTAAATACAAGGTACCTAGAAGGCCCAAGTATTCCCTATCCCTAAACCCTAAACCCTAAACCCTAAACCCTAAACCCTAAACCCTAAACCCTAAACCCTAAACCCTAAACCCTAAACCCTAAACCCTAAACCCTGAACCCTGAACCCTGAACCCTGAAGGTACATGGGTACATGGACCCTTAGGGTTAACAGCCGGTCCAAAAATCCTCGCGCTCGGCACCCTCATGTTGACCCCCCCGGCCCAACAGAACTGTCAACACCACAGACCTCAAGGAATCTGGTGCCTTAGAACACCCGAATATAGGGGCCTTAATTAGAGTAGGGTTTTGGGGGTTCTTATAGTATTAGTATAAAGGGACCAGAAAGGAATACTATTCGCAATTCTTCAGACCCCTACATTACATAGCCGCCCTTAAACGGATTGTAGAAGGCCCCTAATTCCCTGATTGTCGAATGAGTTAGGGTTTAGGGTTTAGGGTTTAGGGTTTAGGGTTTAGGGTTTAGGGTTTAGGGTTTAGGGTTTAGGGTTTAGGGTTTAGGGTTGAGGGTCTAGGGTTTAGGGTTTAGGGTTTAGGCATAGGGTTTAGGGTTTAGGGTTTAGGGTTTAGGGAAAAAAGTCACGACCACCATCCCTGATAGGGCTTCTGCCTTGAGCTGATGTCCTGGCAACGGCCCGGGATGTGCAAGGAAGGGTTTCGGGGTTTAGGGTTTAGGGTTTAGGGTTTAGGGTTTAGGGTTTAGGGTTTAGGGTTTAGGGAGCCTTAACCCTAAACCCTAAACCCTAAACCCTAAACCCCCAAAACTCAAATTTTGGTGTCCAGGGTCTGATGAGGACTAACGAAGCACCCTGAAGCCCCACGATGTACAGCCGCTGTTGAGGCGCCCATCTAGAGTTTAGGCTTTAAAGGCAGACACTCTACTGAACTTGGAACCCTAGCAAAGTAATCCAACTTTAGCTGTTTCTTAGGAAGTATAGTACCAACAAAAGATTAAAACAAAAAAACAAGTATGCTTTATAGTGCCCAAAATTTGAAAAAAACACATTCCCAAGTATCCCCAAGGAGAGTCCTGAATGTTGCGCGCCCCGAAGTACTTGGCGGGGATGTCAATGATCCACAGGAAGCCTTTTCGATCCTGCCCAAGGAGGCCTAGGGGTTTAGGGTTTTGGATTTGGTGTAGGGTTTAGGGTTTAGGGTTTAGGGTTTAGGGTCTAGGGAATGATTGCTCAACCCCTAAACCCAAAACCCCTCAACCCCAAATCCTCAACCCTAAACCCAGAACCCTCAACCCTAAACCCTCAAGCGAAGCTTGCTTGAGGGTGATCCGTTCAAGGGTTTTAGGGTTGGAGGGCTCAAGTTTTAGGATTTGACCCTAAACCCTAAACCCTGAACCATAAACTTTAGGCCTCCTCCCTCCCTCACATCCAACCTCAAAACGAAGCCCAAATATTGAGAAGTCCGACGTCTAGGGTTTAGGGTTTAGGGTTTGGGGTTTAGGGTTTGGGGTTTAGGGTTTGGGGTTTAGGGTTTGGGTTTAGGGTTTGGGGTTTAAGGCCTCTGTCTAAGAATAGTCCAACATACACCAAACCCATACCCCTTAACCGATAAAAGATGATAGTAGGAAGGATTGTAGCCAAACCCCTAAATATCTTCTAAGGGGTACGCCCAAGGGGTATGTTGAAGATTTCTGATTCTGGGTACTTGTTGAGAAACTCGCACGATTACCATCATCATTTGTAAGCAGAGTACAGTGATCTCGGTAACCCTAAGGGTCCATGTACCTAAAGTGGGAATATATGGGCCTTAAAGTACCTCCTATCTAGGGACGTTAGGGCCCAGGTACATAACGATAAGGTACACGGACCCTTAGGGTAACTTAGTATCCTGAACAAGAGCCCCCATTTTCCTTTGCAAGTGCTTGGCGCAGCTCCGTTCCCTTGGGGGACGCGCGCGAAGGCAGACACTTTGCGGCCAGCGGGTTGAAACCCTTGCAAGCCGCGAACCCCAAAACCGCATGAACCCAACAGACCCTCAAAACCCTCAACTGCGTGCTCGTAAGCCCTAAACCCTGAACCCTAAACCCTAAACCCTAAACCCTAGAACCCTGAACCCCTGAACCGGGGCTTAGGGCTGTGAAGCGGCACCTCGGACAGACAGACGCAAGACTTTTCTAGGTCTGCGCAGGGGTTTCATAGGATCCACTTAAGAGGGTTTAGGGTTTAGGGTTTAGGGTTTAGGATTTAGGATTTAGGGTATACAGGATTTGCAAGGGGTTTAGGGCTTCTAGGGGGTTCAGGACGCAGGGTTTGGGGGCTTTGGGTCGGCTCAGTGCAGCTCTTCACGAGCTTGGGCCCTAAACCCTAAACCCTAAACCCTAAAACCTAAACCCTAAAGGGGCTTTAGGGGTAAGGGGATCCCAGCGTCTCAAGCGGTGACGCAGGTAGCTTCTTTGTTGCGTGCATCCATGCCCATGTTTGCTAGTCAGGGGTTGAGGGTTTAGGTTCAAGGTTTTCAACAAAAAGCCTCCCCAAAACCATATACAAAAGTACACGCATATATATATATATACACACACACATAAGCCTAAACCTCAACGCGAAATTTGAAACCCCATCGTCCGACTGAGGCCGAGAAACGCCCAGGAAACGGGCGGCCCGTTGTTAGGCCGCCTCCGTCCCAAAAGGCTCCACCTCCCTACCAGATCTAGAGAGGACAGCCTCCCGCAGAACCACAACGTTGGGATCGCTTAGGGTGTAGGGTTCAATGGGGTTTAGGGTTTGGGCTTGATGTAGGGTCTGGGGTTTAGGGTTTGGGGTTTAGGGTGTGGGGTTTTAGAGCTCTTTGAACTTTAGGGCCTCAGGGGATTTAATTAGGGGGCCCAGAGCTTGTAGGGCTTCGGGTCTGAAGGCTATTTGAGGGCTTTTAGGGAGGTTTCGCTGCTCATTCTCTTTCCTCCGGCTCATCTATGTCCAGAAACGCCAGCAACTGGGCCTGGCTCCAGGACGGGTAACCCTAAACCCTAAACCCTAAACCCTAAACCCTAAACCCTAAACCCTAACCCTAAACCCTAAACCCTGAACCTGGACCCCTACCCTAAGGGTCCATGTACCTTGTTAGTATGTACTTGGGAATCTGCAGTCCCCAAATAGGAGGTACTTTAAGGCCCAAGTATTCCCTATTTAGGTACATGGACCTTTAGTTAGGGCTAAACCCTAAACCCTACACCCAAAAACCCTGGAGAGTGCCGGGTACCTCCTTGGGCATCTGGGGGTCTCACTTCCGGAAGCTTTGAAGGCCCTTACTGGATTTGTTTTTTTGTTTTGGGGGGGGGGGGGGGGGGGGGGTTAGGGGGTTTCGGGTTTAGGGTGGGAGGGGGGGGGGGGGGGGGGGGGGGGGGGGGCGGGGTATACAACTTAAAAATCAGGAGTCCGTGGGCTACATATGGGTTAAGAGTTTGGGGTTGAGGGTGGGGTATCTGTATTACAGTCCCTGAACTTGTACTTAAAGTCAGTGTATGAAGAAGGGCAGAAGAAAGAGGTAAACCCTAAAAACCCAAACCCCGCCCTTCCTGTAGAGCCCCAAACACCACACCCCGTGCCCTGAAGCCTCGACGTTCCAAAACACCCTACAAACCCCTAAACTGCGTGAAAGGGTTAGGGTTTAGGGAAATCCCTAAAACCCTAAACCCTTTTGAGGGTCCTTGAGAGCAAAAGGAACCGCCCCCACCTTCATCTCGGCGATTTCGGCGATGAGTCTCTTGATGGTCTGCCGTGTTACCTGGCTCAGGGTTCTATAGGGTTTAGGGTCTAGGGTTTAGGCTTCCCTTCTGCTCGAAATCTCCCCTGCCTCAACCCCAAAACCCAAACTCTAATGTGAGCGCGACATTCCCTACGGGTCCATGTACCTAAATAGGGAATACTTGGGGCTTAAAGTACCTCTTATCTGGGGACTTTAGGGCCCAAGTACATAATAATAAGGTACATGGACCCTTAGGGGTGGTTTTATGTTACCCTAAACCCTAAACCCTAAACCCTAAACCCTAAACCCTAAACCCTAAACCCTAAACCCTAAACCCATAAATGGGATGACAATTGTAGAATTCGGAGGGACAGAGGGCCCAAGACTACTTTCCATTACGGGAGGTTTTCGGGCTGATGTCTGTAAACAAAGCCACGTAGGGGGCTCGATGAAAGAATACAGGGGTGACAGTTGCAAAACTCGGCTGGCCAGGAACCTAAAATTATACTGAAGATTGCTTAACAGTTCCATTGCAGAAAGACTTTTCAGCTGAGTTGGCTCAAAAAAAGAACCTAATCCCTAAACCCTAAACCCTAAACCCTAAACCTAAACCCTAAACCCTAAACCCTAAACCCTAAACCCTAAACCCTAAACCCTAAACCCTACACATCCAGAGACTTCGGCAGCCCTGCCTTGTTCTCATGGCTCATCCGTGCCAGCTGTATACCTCAGGTGCTCTGGAGTCTCCGTGCGCTCTTTTCTACCAAGGACTCGGCCTTCCTCACAAACCCTAAACCCTAAACCCTAAACCCTAAACCCGAAGCCCACCGTCCTGCCCGAAGTTGTAGCATTTAGGAGGACTGGGGGGGGAGCTTGGGCAGAGAAGTCAGGTAGGATACCTTGGGTTTAGGGTTTAGGGTTTAGGGTTTAGGGTTTAGGGTTTAGGGTTTGGGCTTTGGGGTTAGGGTATAGGGGTATGAGGAAGGAGGACAGGGGCCAAATTCACGGAATCTTTATTTGGGAGTATATGGATAGGGCTTGAAGGCTTTATATGGGTTCGAGGTAAAGTCGGAGGTGAATTAGCACTAAGCTTCGTGTGTCGGCAACGTGACCCACATTCTAGGACCCCCCCCCAAAAAAAAAAGCTCCTTAGTGTTTAGTGTTCGGGTTTGAAGGCGAACGCGGAACCGTACTGTCAGTGGCTTGTAGCCTACCTGACTGCTTTTTGCGGGTATCTTCACGATGACACCCAACACCCCAAGCCCCAACCCTAAACCCTAAACCACAATGACCCCCCCCTAACGCAAAAGGTAGGCCACAAGCCGTTAGAACTAGACAGAACATGGAACCCTAGCCAAAATTATAATTGCATCAGCTGTTTCGTAGGAATTGCCCTAAACACTGAACCCTCAAGCGTCAAATGACCCCAAATGACCCCAAATGACCCCCTAAAGGAAAGGGTAGGCTACAAAGCCGTTAGAAACCCCAAACCCCAAACCCTAAACCCTATAACCCCTAAACCCTAAACCCTAAATGACTTGGTGAGCGGAGGGGCTTTTCGCTGGCCCGTGCAGCTGCATGCAGCCTGGGCTGTGTTGTGCGGGGGCTGAGGTGGGGGGAGGGTATTAGGGTTTAGGGATGAGGCTTTGGGGCTTTAGGGTCAGGGTTGAGGGTGTTGCAGGGTTTAGGGTTTCAGGGGTTAGGGCTTTCAGGGTTTAGGGCGCACCGATTCTGAGGGATACGAGTCTGCGAGGGACTAGAAACCGCGACGACATGCTAAAGTCTTTTGGATTCTGCTCGATGCGTGGTGGCCTGTGTACTTTTCGCAAAAGAGCCAAGCGGCTACCTTTGCGCAGTCCACTTCTGGTCGAAAATCCTATCTGTCCGCGCCACACCCCTAAACCCAGAAACCCCAAACCCTAAACCCTAAACCCTCGAAATGCCTAAACCCTAAACCGTAAACCCTAAACCTCAATCCCTCAACCCCCAAACCCCTGTACACCCTAAACCGTATAGCCTGAAGTGGCCCAACTCCTGCACATCTGCGAAACAGAAAAACGCAGCAGGGAGGGTTTGGGGGTTTGGGGTTCAGACTTCTAGGGTTCAAGGCTTAGGCGACTTTAGTGTTTAAGGTCTGCGCCTAGGGCAACTGCATAGCTACCCCAACACCTTAGGGACTGCATGCATAGAGCATTGGCATCATGCACCGTACGACTCTAAGCCCTAAGAAGACACTTTGAAGGTTAGCCCTAAACCCCACACCCTACACCCTAAACCCTAAACCCGATTCATTCGCCAGGAAGCCAGTGACGAACTCGTTCAGATCGATGAGTCCGTTTTGGTCCGAGTCGATGACCATGAACAACGTCAGAACATCCTACTTGGAGGGGGTTTAGG